ACGACCCAGTACTGGGTTGCGGTGGCTCTGGTCAGCACCGCCGACTGGGCCGTTAAAAGTCTCATCGGCAGTGCCGCCCGGCTAAGGCTAGTCTAGTGCCTACCTGTTCTGATACTGCCCTGCGACCCAGAAGAGGGCAGCAGCAGGTCTGGCTCCTAGGTCGGGGGGCCACGGGGCTCCATGCACTGCCCCCACCCCGAGCACTGGCTCCGCATTCCCATTGGCTGGTTCCTGGCCAATGGGAGCTGGGGGGGGGTCAGTGCCTGTGGCTGAGTGCCATGCACCCCCAGCCTGAGCCTGCACCCCTAGTCCAGAGCCCTGACCCCCTCCTGCACCCCTGCCCCCAGCCCAGAGCCCCCTCCCACACCTTGAACCCTCATTCCCAGTGCCCCCAGAGCCTGCATCCCCAGCCCAGACCCCCTCCTGCACTACAATCCCCTGCCCCAGCCCAGAGCCCCCTCCCCAGCCCTGAACCCCTCATTCCTAGCCTCACCCCACAGCCCTCACCCCAACCCTCTGCCTCAGCCCTGAGCCCCTCCCACACCCCAAGCCCCTCATCCCCAGCTCTGTTGGATTGTGAGCATCAACAATTTTCTTCAACTGGGCCCTAGAAAAAAAGTTTGAAAACCATTGTCTTAGAGGGAACTATCTGTGGACCACTTGAATGGAGCTCGCGGACCCACAGTTGGAAAACCTCTGGGCTAGGGCTTTGCAGAATAGCTTGCCTTAGTCAATGTGTATTTTGTATACAACTGACTCATGAATTCTTTATCTACTATATGCAGGGTACAACTGTGACGTTTCCCTCTGGTGTTGTCTGGACCAGTGATCTTCTAGGCCGCTCCAATCCTTGACTCTGGGAGCCAGACTTACCCTGCTCTGCTGTGAGAACCCCACTCCTGTGTGTGTTCACACACAGCCTCTGGCATGTAAGCTGCTCCCAGCTACTTGCAAGCGAATGACACTAGCCAATATCGCCGGTCCCAGACACAGCCCTAGGAACCTCTGTTTTGCAGTGCCAGTTATGCCCGCTGGACTCTGCAAGCTTATATAGGTTTGTCAATTTAACAATGAAATTGATATGTACCAGGCTTGTTATCCCAAGGGGAGCCTCTGACACACTTCAAACCAAACGTACTCCTTCAGGTAGAATAAACAAACAGATGTATTAACTATAAAGGTAGATTTTAAGTGATTATAAGTCAAAGCACAACAAGTCAGATTTGGTCAAATGAAATAAAAGCAAAACACCTTCTAAGCTGATCTTAACACCCTCAATGTCCTTACAAACTTAGTTGCTTCTCACCACAGGCTGGCTGGTTACTTTTCAGTCAGGCTCTCCTCTTTGATCAGCATTTCAGTCGCTTGGTGGGGGAGTCTGTAGATGTAGGTGAAGGAGAGAGAGCATGGCAGGTGTCTCTCCCTTTTATCATGTTCTTTCTTCCCTCTTGGCTTTGCCCCCCTCCTCAGTGTCAGGTGAGCATTACCTCATCGCAGTCCCAAACTGCCCAAAGGAAGGGGGTGACTCCCTCGAGGGTCTAACAGATTATTTTGTTGGTGCCCAAGCCAGTGTTCATTGTTCCTGTGAGGCTGGGCTGGGTTTGTCCCATCCATGCCCTGATGAGGTGTAAACGGCCTCTCTGTTCTTGGAGAGTATTTGCATGGGCTTGCTTTAAGCCACGAGGACACATTTTCAGTCTCATAACTATATACATGAAATTATAACCTATAACATTACTGTGACAATTACTATAACAACCATGCTCAGTGCATCATGAGCCTTTTGAAGACACCCAACATGACAAACTTTGCATTGGATACCACATCATCATTTTATAAAGATGAAGATGGGGGTGTAGGGTGTTCCCCTGGAGGTACAGAGCATCACAACAACAAAATAGAAAATACTAAATGTGTTCAAGGTTGTAGGGGGAAAATTATGTATTGTATTTTTGAGCTGTTAGAGAACTGTGTCATCGGTTAACAGGATGGGGGGGATTTACAATTTTTTAAAATCTCTATTTAAAATTCCTTGGGTCAGGGGTATTAATGTGGCCCTGACCAAGCTGATGATAGCTCCTTTTGAGCCACTCAGTGCTTGCCGTCTTGAGCTTGCTGAATGAATGAACCTCAGGTCTTAGTGACCGATCCATTAATATATCAATTCTCCCCCTGCCCCTATTATCCACCAGTTGTCCCCCCAGCCAAGGAATTCCTCTGTCCCTGTTCCCCATCACATTTCATCTACTCAGCCGGCTTCCTGGCACATTTCAGTGCTTCTATCCCTGCACCTCCAAACCAAGCTCCTTTTCCCCCAGGGCCTCTATAGGACGCTGGCCTGTTCAGCTTCTCCCTATCCAAATGGCTTAGGGTATATCTACACTGCCCACATTACAGTGCGGCTGCAGCTGCACTGTGATGTGGGCAGTGTAGACACGCTTTATTGCCAGGAAAGAGGTCTCCCGGTGATTAAAAAAACCCCCACCCCAAATGAGCAGTGGTAGCTTTATCAAGTGCTGTCTGTACTGGTGCTTTTCAGCGCTAACACTTTTGTCACTCAGGAGTGTGTTTTTTCACACCCCCTAACGACTAAAGTTTTAGCGCTGAAAGTGGCAGTGTAATAGGGTGACCAGATGTCTTGATTTTATAGGGACAGTCCCAATATTTGGGGCTTTTTTTTAATATGGGCTCCTACTACCCCCCATCCCTTGTCCCGATTTTTCACACTTACTATCTGGTCACCCTACAGCAGTGGTTCCCAAACTTGGGTTCGCACAATGTTACAGGGGGATTGACAGAAAATTTTCCTTAATGGTGGCCAGAGGACCCCAGGCATGGGACGCAGCAGGTGTGACCCAGTTGCAGAGCAGACAGCCGAGCCCTGTGGAGCGCTGAGTGGGTAGCCGAGCTCCAGTCAGCGTGGGGCCGGGCAGTTGGGGCTGGCAACCCAAGCCCCAGCAGTCAGCACGGGCCAGCAGCCCGAGCCCCGTGGAGTGTGGAGCTGGCAGCCCAGACCCCAGTGTGGGGCTAGCAGCCTCAGCCCCATCGCGGGCAGGGAGGCAGCTGGGACCCCTTGGCAGACAGGAAGTTGGGTGGCATGAGGGACAGATTGAGCAGGGGCCACGCTGCACATGGAGGGGGGGGTCCAGGCTAATTTGTCCCTCGCGGGGCACCCTCCTAGGGATGGCCCTGGTGGTGGAAGAAAAGGTGTTTGCGCACCAAACCAGCTGGAACCTGGTAGTAGTCAATGTAGCAGTGTTCAGGTGCCTCACTAATTCGATACTAAGTCATTTTCTCTAGAGTGCTGTTTTGCTTCAGTGAGAGGTGAATGAATGTTAGCATCACACTGAGGAGATTTAAACTTAAATCCCTGGAAAATATTCATTTTTAGGAGGGCGTTCACGAGATTTCACAATTTAGTGAAAGGGGTCCCCGGATTGTTAAAGTTTGGAAACCACTGCCCTACAGTGTAGACACAGCCTTAGTTACACTTCCAGGAACACCGCTCTGGCAGTGGCCTATGCCGCTGTTCTGTCCCAAAAAACAGCAGGCAGGAGAGAAGCTAGGAGGCAGGAAGCAGCCCCAGGAGGGAAGGAGCCCTGGCCCGCCTGATGTTTCCCACCTCACCCAGGAGAGCAGCCCTCAGCAGCTAGAGGGGACAGAATTGCTGGCCAAAGGCAGGAGAGTGGGACTCAGCCAATAGGGTGACCAGATGTCTCAATTTTATAGGGACAGTCCTGATATTTGGGGCTTTTTTTTATATGGGCTCCTATTACCCCCCACCCCCGTCCCGATTTTTCACACTTGATGTCTGGTCACCCTATCGGCAAATGAATCGGTCTGGTAGCCTCAAGCTGGAAGGAGTGCAGGGAGGTACTGCTGGGCTCCTGTCCAGATGTGTGAACAAAGGGGGCGGAGCAAGGGCAAAGAACAGGGAAGGGCGGGGCGATTGGGGCCCGCGCCGCGCTCAGGGTCTCTGCGCCTATTGGTGGGCTGATCGGAAAGACTCCACCCACGCGTAGGGGAACGGCCAATAGAGGAGAGCGATGCGCTGTTCTCGCGAGAGTTGAGCTGAAGCTGGCAGCGCCATCTTGAAGTCGGGAGAGGCCGTGTCCCTTTTCTGCTCCTAGGGGCTAATAGCAAAGGGGATGGGGGCCGGGCAGTGACTGAGTTAGCTGGGTCCCTGCGCTCCTCTTCTGTGCGTGCTGGAGCGGAGCAGGTGGCCGCCGGCGGGGGAGAATGGTGCAGTCCTGCTCCGCCTACCGCTGCCGGAACCGATACGACAAAGAGAAGCCTATCTCCTTCCACAAGTGAGGACGGGGCAGGAGCGCGCCTGCGCGGGGCGGGGGCGCGCCACGGCGGGGGGAGGGGCCATGCCCAGGGTGCGCGCTGGGGGCGCGGGGAGTAACCGTCATTGGCGAGCAGCCCAGAGCGCGTGCGCACCGGCCGTTGGGGGAGCGCGCTCACCCAGGGGGAGTCCTGCGCAAGTGGGCCTGTCCCAGTTACTCCTCCCGCGTGGGGGGAGGGGTTCCTGAGGGGAGGCCGGCTGTGCCCGGCGCTGTACAGACAGCCTGCCCCATTCCTCCTGGGGAGCGGGACGGATCTGCCCTGGCACCCTGGGCCACGTGCCTGTTTGGTGCCTGGAGCAGGCAGCCCTGGTGCCTGGCGTGGGCCGGCCAGCTCAGTGGCACGGCCTAGCCCACAGGGGGATGTAAACACTGGGCAAGTGAGGGGCTGCGCCAGCCCGCCCATCACCGGGTCTGGCTCCAGGCATCTGCACCACTTGGGTGGAGCTTCGTAGGAGAGCTTGCAAAGGAGCCCGAGGCTTCTTCACACTTTGCAGGTGTCCTGTGAACATGCCTGGTTGAGGCCTCGCGCTCTGTATTGAAATCCTCATTGCCACTTGCTCATTGGGCGGCCTGATGGTGGCCTGGCTTTTTCAGTTTCCCCCGAATAAAGCAAAAACCTGCCCCTGGGCTCTGCCCTGTCAGCTGATCCATGAAGGTGACCCCTTGTGCCTCCCCATTGCCCCCCCTATGCCCAGCAAGGAGATGACTGTGTTTATCAGCTTGCAAAATCAGGCCCTAAGCAATGGTGCTGAACATAGCAGTATGGGGGGGGGGGGGAGGCTTTTTGTTCCTTGTTTATATTGCAGCTAACACTGGGGGTCCTGGTCCGTGACTAGTGTTTCTAGATGCTACACCAATACCTTGTCTTAAGTGGCTTATAAATGTCTACAGTGCTATTGCTTTTTTTAGAAAGCCTTGAAATGGAGCTGAAGGTCCATTTCATTTGCAGGTTTCCTCTCACGAGACCTGATCTCTGCAAAAAATGGGAAGCTGCTGTTAAAAGAAAAAACTTCAAACCAACAAAGTATAGCAGCATTTGTTCAGAACACTTTACTCCAGATTGCTTTAAAAGAGAGTGCAACAACAAGCTACTGAAAGAAAATGCTGTGCCCACAATATTTTGTTACACTGAACCCAGTGAGAAGGTAAAGGTAAACATGAAAACTCTTTCTTATAATACATACTTTAATTTATGTATACATTGTCAAATACTGCAGTATAAGTATATATTTTTTTAAAATGCAAAGAAGGGAGAGAAGCAGTGTTAAGGAGATAGGGATTTAAGTCTGATCTGCTCTCTGCACATGTGCAGAAATAGACGGAGAACTTAGAAGGGTCCTGAGACATATAGAAGAGAGGTATGGTAACAACTAGAAATGCTCAGCTGTTTTTATGAAGCTATATGGAAAGTTTCCATTAAGAGCAAGTGGTCTTGTGGTTCCACACAATCACCACCTGAGAGCTGAGCCAGTTGGCACTCGGGAAAGGGTTATAAATATGTGAATTGGAGTCATCAGCTGATTGATACAGGGCCAAAGAGCTGTTTCTGATATGAAGGCTGTGTTCCAATACTTGTCTCACTTTGGATACAGGTATAGGTTCCCTATCTTGTTAAAAACCAATGCATCAAGGTGGGTGAGGTACTATCTTTTATTGGACCAACTTCAGTTGGTGAGAGAGACAAGCTTTCAAGGTGGAACAGGTAGTTTAGCATAAGTAGTTAACCTATATTTCAAGAGACCATTTAAGGTGAAGTAGCCTGTTAACATGTCTCCAGTGCACTAAATGTCCCAATAACAACTATGTGGGTGAAATGAGACAATCACTGCACACTTGAATGAACCCATACAGAAAACTGATAAATGACAAAAACACCGTATCACCTGTAACACTTTTCACAAAGCGATCACTTTATATAGGACCTCTCGGTCCCCATCCTCAATGGTCCCTTGAAAATACACCTCGACCCGATATAATGCGACCCGATAAATATGAATTTGGATATAATGCGGTAAAGCAGTGCTCCAGGGCGGGCAGGGCTGCGCAGGCCGGTGGATCAAAGCAAGTTCGAAATAACACGGTTTCACCTATAAGGCAGTAAGATTTTTTGGCTCCCGAGGACAGCGTTCTATCAGGGTAGAGGTGTATGTGTTAACTACTTAAGCTAAACGATCTGTTCCACCTTGTATTTAGCTGTGACAGGGAATGAGTACATTTCCCAGACCTGAAGAAGAGCTCCGTGTAAGCTCAAAACCTAGTCTCTTTCATCAACTGAAGTAGGTCCAATAAAAGATATTACCTCACCCACCTTGTCTCTCTAATATCCCGGGACCAATGTGGCTACAACAACTCTACATAGATACCAATTAAGCAGTCAACTATTAGCTCAGGGACTGGAATTAGCTGCTGACTGCAAGAATCTTGGAACTGCTGTTCTTGCTTAGGAGATTCTCATGTGTTTTGGAGGGAACTGAGAGAGGCTGCCCTTCTCACGCTCTGGAGAATCCAGGTGACACAGGCATATTTTGAAGCCATATTAGAAAGTGAGAAGATGTGAAGGCAGTGTGTATATGTGTTAAAGTGTACAAGAGTGTATGTTCTGTTGCAGACTTACACTGAAATGTATGTGAAGAAACCAAGGTGTGGGGGAGATAACTCTCGATAGGTATCCTTTTTAGGTGACAGATCTGAAGTACTGTCCCACATTGATGCATCAATAGGATTTTAGAACAAATTGATAAATTAAACAGTAATACGTCACCAGAATCAGATGGTATTCACCCAAAAGTTCTGAAGGAAGTAATACAAAATTACAGAACTACTAACTATAGTATGTAACTGATTGCTGAAACAAGCCTCTGTACCAGATGACCGGAGGATAGCTAATGTAAGACCAATTTTTAAAACACTCTCCAAAGACAATCCTGGCAATTATAGGCTGGTGAGCCTAACTTCAGTAACAGGCAAATTGGTAGAAACTATAGTAAAGAACAGAATTATCAGGTGCACAGATAAACATGTTTTGTTGGGGAACAGTCAATATGGCTTTTGTAGAGGGAAGTTATGCTTCACCAATCTATTAGAATTGTTTGAGATGTCAACAAGCATCTGTATAAGGGTGATCCAGGTGATGTAGAGTACTTGGATTTTCAGAAAGTCTTTGATAAGAGCCTTTAGTGAGGGACCTTAAGGAAACACAATAGTCCTGGAATAACAAGACTCTTATGGATCAATAACTGGTTAAAAGATAAGAAATAAAGGGTCCATTTTCACAGTGGCGAGAGGTTCTGCCAGGAGCTGTCCTGTTCAACATATTCATTAATGATGTGGAAAATGGAGTGAACAGTGAAATGGCAACATTTGCAATTGCTACGTATTAATTCAAAATAGCTAAGTCCAAAGCTGACTGCAGTTACAAAGGGATCTCACAAAACTGAACAACAAACGGGCAGATGAAATTCAACACTGATAACTGCAAAGTAATGCACACTGGAAAAATAATTCCATCTACACATATATAATGGGATATCTAATTGAGCTGTTAGCACTGGAGAAAGAGACCTTGGAATCACCTTGGAAAACCTCTGAAAACTTCAGCTCAACGTGCAGCAGCAGTCAAAAAGGGTAACAGAATGTTAGTAACTATTTGGAAGGGGATAGAAAATAAGACAGAAAATATGATGCCACTATATTAAATCTCTGCACCTTGAATTCTGTGTCCAGTTTTGGATTCCCCATCTCAAAAAGGATATAGTGGAATGAAAAAGGTTCAGAGAAGGGCAACAAAAATGATCAAGGGTATGGAACAGCTTACATACAAGGAGATACTAAAAAGATTAAGGCTGTTCAGTTTAGAAAAGAGATGACTAAGGGGTGATGTGACAGAGGTCGGTATAATCATGAATGGTGTGGAAAAATGAATAGAGAGGTTTTATTTACCCTTTCCCACAATACAAAAACCGGGGGTTACCCGATTAAATTAATAGGTAGCAGGTTTAATACAAACAAGGGGAAGTACTTTTTCACACGACACATAATTAACCTGTGGAACTCATTGCCATGGGATGTTGTGATGGCCAAAAGTATAACTGGGTTCAAAAAGAACTAGCCAAGATGGCTGGGGAAGCAACCCCATGCTTGAGATGACCCTAACCCTCAGATTGCCAGAAGCTGGGAGGGAAGGACAGAGATGGATCCCTCTAACTGTTCTGTACACTCCCCCAGAAGCTCTGGTACTGGCCACTGTTGGAGACAGCATACTGGGGTAGATGGCATTGACCTGACCCAGTGTGGCTGTTCTTATGTTTTTAAGTGAGGAAGTCTATATAAGGATCACCAAAAGGTTTACTGCCTAATAGTTTATTTAATAAGTTATTCAAAAGTATTCCTAATACTTTTTGCAAATGTCTGTATGCGTATTAATTGTTCACTAAGGAATTGTAGAGCACTCTCTGCTGTTTATTAGGGCTATCAATTAATCAAGTTAACTCGCGTGATTAACTAAAAAAAATTAATTGCAATTAATCATAGTTTTAATCGCACTGTTAAACAATAGAATACCAATTGAAATGTATTAATTTTTTGGCTGTTTTTCTACATTTTCAAATATATTTATTTCACTTTCAACACAGAATACAAAGTGTACAGTGCTCACTTTATTATTTTTATTACAAATATTTGTACTGTAAAAATGATAAAAGAAATACTGTTTTTCAATTCACCTCATACAAGTACTGTAGTTCAATCTCTCTATCGTGAAAGTGCAACTTACAAATGTAGTTTGGTTTTTTTGGTTGTATAACTGCACTCAAAAACAAAACAATGTAAAACTTTATAGCTTACAAGTCCATTCAGTTCTACTTCTTGTTCCGCTAAGACAAACAAGTTTGTTTACGTTTATGGGAGATAGTGCTGCCCGCTTCTTATTTGCAATGTCACCAGAAAGTGAGAACAGACGTTCGCATGGCACTTTTGTAGCCCGCATTGCAAGGTATTTGTGTGTCAGATACAGCAAACATTCCTATGCTTCGGCCACCGTGCCAGAGGACATGCTTCCATGCTGATGGATCTCATTTAAAAAAAAAGTGCGTTAACTAAATTTGTGAGTGAACTTGGTGTGGGAGAATTGTATGCCTCCTGCTCTATTTTACCCACATTCTGCCATATATTTCATGTAATAGCAGTCTCGGATGATGACCCAGCACATGTTTGTTTTAAGAACACTTTCACTGCCGATTTCACAAAACACAAAGAAGCTACCAATGTGAGATTTCTAAAGCTAGCTACAGCACTCGACCCAAGGTTTAAGAATCCGAAGTGCCATCCAAAATCTGAGAGGGATGAGATGTGGAGCGTTCTTTCAGACGTCTTAAAAGAGCAACACTCCGACTTGTAGGCTCTAAACTTTTAGATTGTTTTACTTTTGAACGCAGTAATTTTTTGGACATAATTCTACATTTGTAAGTTCAACTTTCATGATAAAGAGATTGCACTACAGTACTTGTATTAGGCAAATTGAAAAATACTATTTCTTTTGTTTTTACGGTGCAAATATTTGTAATAAAAATAAATATAAAGTGAGCACTGTACATTTTATATTGTGTGCTGTAATTGAAATCAATATATTTGAAAATGTAGAAAACAGCCAAAAATATTTAAATAAATGGTATTCTATTATTCTTTAACAGTGTGATTATTGATAGCTCTACTGTTTATTAATTCCTACATTCAGGGTTTTTGATCCCATAGCTCTGAGGTTGAACTCTATCTTTTCAGAAAAGAGTGTTACACACCCTGGCCTATGCTTTAGCAGAGAGGTAAAATGAAGTGCAAGAAAAAGTGGAGTGTAATAGAAGTATACATAATATTACCTCTGCATTTCCTACTCCCCACCCCTCACACACCTTGTCTGTTACATACGCAGTGTTACTGCCTCCAAACATCAAATGTAGCTCCTCCTGACAGAGCACATGTGTTTTTTCTTCATTGTACCACCGAGTGACATACCCAGGCTCTACCCATGGGACTAGAGCGGGTTATTCAATTCTTCCCCTTCGGCACACTGAGTGCACGGAACAGGAGTGATTTGGAGGATTCCTAGCTTCTATAAGGGAGATAAAACATGCACCAATAAGTCTCTTTTTTTCTCGCTCCTTTGAGAAGGGAACAGAAAGGATGGTGAGAATAGCAGAAGAACAGCAGAAAAAGCTCAAAGAGATATGGGGGGGATGACAGAGGGGAAAAAGATGGGGAGAGAGGCACACAGGAGAGTAGGAAAATTAAAGAAAATAGCCTGGAAATAAAGAGGGAATGTAAGTGGAAAATGGAAGGCAGCTAGTAAGAAAGACAGACAGACACAGCGTGTGCAAGAAAAGATGAGCAACTTTCAGGTAAATACTCTTTATTTATACTTTCTTCTTTGATTGTGTTTCCCTGATAGAAAAGATGAGTATGGTGGGAGCCAAATTAGACACAAGAGAAAGGGTGAGATGGAGAATATTCTAACCAAGTTGCTGCCCATGCCACAGGACAAATATCAGGATCAGTGGCAGTTCAGATTCCTGCATCTGGCCACTGTGCCTCAACCCATGTGGATGGACCACTTCTAGGGAGCAGAGTGTAATTCTCTCTCTGCTCATTCGTTCCTTGCCCCCTCTTTTTGTACTGTTAGTAAGGATGCCTTGTTAGTGTCAGTTGTGGAGGTGGATTTGGCGATGTGCACAGCTGTTCACTCCGAGCTGTTTTGATATTACCAGCTCATTTGCAGCAGTTTTAAAATGACCATAGATAGTGGTAACTTACTCTCAGAGCAGGGTTCAGATTGATTATCTTGATGTAAAAAGCTGTGTAATACCATTTATTTTAATACCTGTTGCTGTTTTTCCTGGTAGGATCTTTGGGACAAAAACTTCATTGGGTATAAGAAATGCTTTGAATTCGCCCATAATACGTCAGTGATGGATTACCAAGGGAGAAGGCCACGTATACCGAGAGGGAGATCTTTTATGAAAGATGCCATGTGCCATCAGCCAAAAGGGGGAGACTAGAATTGGAGGATACCAATTTCTGCAAGTCTAGTTGTCTGGCGATTGTCCCGAGTGCTCCTAAGGAGGGTGAATTGCTCACTGAGAGACATGCTTTCCCCTTCCTCTTTCCCTTGCCATCTTCCCCACAAAGGGGGCTCTGAGAATTACGGTTGACTAGTACAAGTTTGACCTGGTCAAAATGCTTGACATCTTCATGTGTGAGGCTAAAAGATACATTGTGACAAAAACATAGGTTCATTTTATCTGAGGCACACAACTGGGATTGTCAGATTGAGGTTGTGCTAATGTATACTGATTGATTATACATGGGCACCTACAAGAAACTTTAAATCAACACTGGAAGCAAAACTGACTTTCCAGTTACACTCTGCTTAGTATCATAGTCTATGCAGGAGCAATGTCTAGGCAGTAGATTAAAAACAGATACTAAATTGCTTGGCTAGGATGTCTTGGATAGTGCTGTATTTCCCTGGTCTTTTACACCTATATATTAGATCTAGCTCGATCGCTCAGGGCTGTGAAAAATTTTGCACCCTGATAGGTAAATCTGATCCTCACTGTAGACAGAGCTAGGTTGACAGAAGGATTCTTTGTGGCTATTACTTCTCGGAGGGATGGATTATCTACATCGATGGCAAAACCTCTTCTGTCAATGTAGGAAGCATCTACGCTACTTATGTAGTATAAACATGCCAAATCCTCAGAGCACAAGGTTCTAGGGGTAACAGGTTATGTAATCTGCAAGTACTTGGGTAAAGAATATAGCATCTCTGTCTCTGACACGGTTAATGCCATTAAATGCATTGAGACCATCAAAGCAGACAGTTACAAAATTGACTTCTAGGTCAATGCATCTTTCACCGAGAAGTTCTTAGCTGTTTTTGCTAGATACTGGATATGCTTACTGTTGTGTTTCAAGAGCACTGTTTCATGTGAGTCCAAGCAGATGCAATTCTGAATGCTCTCTATATCTTTGGGGCAGAAAGGATTTAAGTCTTCCCTCTGTTCATTACCTGTTTTGGGGGGACTTGGGCTAGGTAAGTACACTAAGTGTATCTAGGTTAAAGTGGGTGAATGAGTTCTTGCAGCTGATAACCCTTCAACCGTGTGGTGGAGTTAAAGACTGGACAGTTCATAATTTTATAAGTGTTTTGACAAAGTCTTCAGAAGTGACTAGAGATTTTGGTTGCCTCAATTTCTAGGTGTCCAACTTGAGACTTTTAAGAAGGTGGGTGCTCAGCATTTCTGAAAGCTTTTAGGGTGGCTCAAACGGAGCATTGAAAACTGAGGTCCCCCAAATCCCAATCACTTTTGAAAATGTAGGCCATCAAACTTCACGAACAGAATTAATGCTAAAAAGGGGGGTGCTTATCACCTTCATTTACTAATTTCAGCCATGCGTAGTGCATTGTCAGCTGGGTGCTGCAACTGTCGCATACAGATTACAATGTGGCAATTAGAATGCTGTTCACAAAACAGATTAAAATGTACTTTCTGTCTTGCTGTTTTAGACTGAAGAATTTACAGAGCAACCCGAAGATCTGTCTGCCGCACCACCACCCCCTCCACCACCCCCTACTCTGCTACCACCTGCCCCACCGCAGCCTTCCTTTCCTTTGTCTCAAATAGATGCAAGATTGGTAGATCCAAGTATTGGATTATTAATGCCTCCTCTCCAGACCCCTAATAATCTTGCCGTTTTCTGTGATCACAACTATACTGTAGAGGATACAGTACATCAAAGAAAGAGAATTCAGCAGCTGGAGGAACAAGTTGAAAAACTGCGAAAGAAGCTCAAGACAGCGCAGCAGCGATGCAGACGTCAGGAAAGACAGATTGAAAAACTGCGAGAGATCGTTCAGTTTCAGAAGGAAAAAGACATAGTGGCAGGAAAAGGCTATGTGATTCTACCTAATGACTATTTTGAAATCGTGGAAGTACCTGCATAAAAACATTGACGTTCATTTCAAAGGGGCAGTGCCAAATAGCCTCTTCAGATTAACACAGAAATTCAGTTTAAAAATGAATGCTCTCTAATTGTGTGTAAAACCATTCTAAAAATAATAAAGAAGCTATAAAATACTCAATAGAGCACAGTTTGTTTGTTCATTGTCATTGCAACTTTTAACACTTTTAATTAGGCTTGGCAGAATTAGACTTTTTGGTAATATTGATGGAAAATATCAATGTTTGTTTTTAAGGTTTTTTGTTGATAATTTAAATCAGGCCTGCACAACTTGTAAAGCGGCGAGGGCCATATTACTCCAAAGAAAACAGCTGAGGGCCGAAACCCCCGAGCACTGCCAACCCCCCCCCCAGCACCACCCAGCCCCCCCTCCCGAAACAACACACACACCCTATGCCACCCGCCCCACGGAAACAACCCCCCCAGCACTGCCGAAACACAACACCCCTGTCCCCCCCCAGCGCCACCTGCCCTGCGGAAACAAACCCTCCTTCCCCAGCGCCACCCCACCGAAACAGTATTGAACCTCGGTAATTTGTTATAGCGGGCCCCTAAGGTAGTATAATTAAGGTAAAAGAAAAATGTCTTTTTGCTAGAAGTAGAATAAGATCTTCCCCCCACTTTGTAATCAATTGCCCTGTTGAATGAATG